GCTGCACAGAATCAGATTCTCTGCTCCCATGCCATGCCCTTTGTTGTGGTGCTGAGTGCGGTTTATTGTTTTGTGAGCCATGTTAGACAGGAAAGTGGCTAAATGAATGTGACTGCATTGTGTTCTAGTACAGGGCTGGGGGAATCCCAGGAACCAGGTAGCCAATGCTCCTTAAAAGTTTCCTCAGGTGCCCAACTTTTGAGGTTTTTTTTCTAGTTGTCAATAGAGCTGGCTCCTAAATAAAATGCTGCTGGCTTCTGGATTGGACAGACTGGCTCCTGAATTCCAATTAATGATTCCACCCCTGGTAGGATTGCTGAAACAAAAATGGTAAATGGGAGAAGTGACTCAGCCATTTGGGTGGTCTTTTGGAGGTTTATGAAGGATTCTACCATAGTTGAGTGTTTTTCATAATCTGTCATATCAAAGGGACCCTGTCACCACTTATTAAAAAAAAACTCCAGCCCTGTAAAGGAAGCCCATCTATACTTAATTTTCCATGGCATCACTGCTCCCTGTATATGGTGCATAACTTTAGAGCAGTGGTTCTCAACCTGTGTAACCTCAGGACCCACATTTGTCGCAACCCAAGTCGCACTGCAATAGAAAGGTGCGTTTGGGGTGCCATCCAAATAAATGGCAACGCAACGCACCTCCCGCACCAGAACATGTAGTAGGTGCAATTGCGTGGTACAGGGCTGTTCGATTAACGCACTGTAGTAGTGTGAACGGGCCCTCAAAAACACTGACAGACACACACAACCACAAATACAATCTCACACACACATACACTCCCAAAAATAGTTTTTCTTTTTTTTAAGATCCACCCAGTCACCCTATCTTACAAGAACTGGAGTGGATCCTCAGCCTGGAGTCCAGTGTGGGCTGCTGTGCTGTGATGGAGCTCCATCCTCATGTGCATTGCATGTACAGCTCCCTTGTGCACCCTGTTGAGGTGCCGGGAGCCAGAATGTGATGTCACTCTGGTCCAGGCACCTATACAGGACATGTGAGGGAGCTGTAAGCAATGCACGTATGGATGAAGCTCCCTTGCCCCATCCCACCTCACCTCAAGCTGACACTCGGCGTCAGGCAGCATATTTTGAATGGCTGCTTGGCGAGAGAACTGACAGTGCTGCGCTAGGGGGAAGCCTCTCACCTAGAAAAGTGAAAGACATGCGGCGACCCACTTAACACGGGGTCACGACTCACCAGTTGAGAACCAAGGCTTTAAAGGACCAACAGTTGTTGAATTTTTCCATTTTGGGTGGAAAGGAAAAGGATGGTAAAAGCCTCTCGTGGCTGGTAGGGGAAGAGATCTGCCCAGCAGCTCTAGGCTAGATACACACCTCGGTTTTGTTCAGTGCATTAAAAAATCCTGCTTGTTGCATCTTTTGTGTGGCTTCCATAGGGGGTAACGGTAACTGGTAATGGTAACACATCACACTATACCTGTACAGTATCAAAAATGCAAAGCTGTCCATTGGGTAAACTGTCATAAGCGAACTTTGCATGATGCCATGGCTGAACTATAAAGGGATATTGGAGTTGTTAGCTACATGTATACACACACATGTAGGTTGAACTGGATGGACCTGTGTCTGTATTCAAGCTTAACAACCATGTAATATACTACAAAACATTGCGTCACAGATCTAGATAGGTATGCAAATAAGGATTCTGGCTAATGTACATACTAGTTATTCCAGTTTAGTGACAGAAAGTATCGGGTCCAGAGTAAAAGGCAGTCAACAAGCATTTTCAGAAGGCGCTCATTAATGGCAGCCCCCATATTTATTTTGCCACAGGTTTTCTTTAAAGATCCAGCTGGGGATCACATCCTGTGCCACTCAACCCAGAGCCACTGTGCTTTACTGAAGGATTCCACTAAGCACACTTAAAGTAGAACTCTGGGCATTTAAAAAAAACTTTTCCTTGCAGTGGCTCTACCCCCGCACTGCAAGGGTTACTTCTCTAGGGGTAGAATAAAGCAGATATACTCATCTGCCCCTCGGTCCCGCTGCATTTGGCACTCACTTCTCTCTCCCTCCTCTCTGGCTGTGGAATGTCCCTTGATGTCCTTACATCTAATGCAAGTCAGTGGACCTGCATAAGACATGGATGACATCAGCAGTCCTTGGAGCACGGACACGGTCCTTGCAGCCTCATCTCCACCAGACCACCGGAGCCTGGGTGAGATGAGGTTGCAGGGACCACTCTAGCAGCTGGGTGGGACTGAAGGTTAGGTTATATCTGCTTTATTCCATCCCCATAGGCTTTTAAACGCCCAACACAAGAAATCCCATGAATTTCAATGGCCCCTGTTCACATCTGAGCAGCAAAACGCCAAAAGCTTTTTTGGCAGTTTCAAGCTTGTTTTTCCCCTAAAGACTTTAATGGAAACGCCAGAAAACACACGGCAGAAGCATGTTGCACATTTTCACGCACGTTTGTCCATTGGCCGCAATGTTTCTTGAGCTGCCGGTGCAAAAGCGCGTCTTCACGTGCTCGTGTTTTCACACGTGTACAAATGCAAAAAAACGCACGCTGAACCTACATGTACAAACATGCAAAAAACAATGCTGCCTTGGTGTGAACCGAACTGTTACCCTTGAAGTGCGGGGGTAGCCCCGCTGCAAGGGAAAGTTTATAAAATGCCCAGAGTTCTGATTCTACTGCTTTTTTAAAATTCACAGATTCCGTAAGTCTTAGGCCCCATTCCCTAAGCGGATTTCCGCCGCGATATCGCGCATTTTTGCCGCCCAATTATTTTCAATGGAGCTGTCTTAATGTACAGCTCCATGTCGCTCGTCGTGGTCGCAAGTCACTCCCACAGGACCCTTTTTTGGCGAATTTTGCACGATTTTTAAATTTTTTAATGCAGCCCGACGGTGAAGGTCGCTCTTTAGTCGCTGGAACGTCGCACTGAAAGTCGCGCTATCCCAGCCGCGCGGATCCGCTCCAAAAGGTATGTCGCTTAGTGTGAATGGGGCCTCAGAGCTCTGGTATAGAATCCAAGATGGAGCCCCTTCAAATTGTTTCCCCTCTGTAGTAATGTGGGTTGGGGTAATGTAAAGGTAAATGCGGCTTTATTGTAGGTTTACATAAAACCGCGAGCAAAACTGGAAGTAAATACACTGCAGTTAGGTCCCGTATAGGCGTCCCGTGATAGCCACTTGTATTGTACACATTGCTTTCTAATCTTGGGTCAGTTTGGCTCATTCTTTTTATGGAGACCATCAAGATGCAAAACTGGGGACATATACACCCATACATACTGTACAGAATCTGATCTGACCACACAAGTGGTAAATAAGTGGAACGGGCAGTTTTGCTGGTGGTCACGTGACCTCATGGACCTAGGCATGGTTTCATCTTTTGCTCCTTCTGCAGTCACCTCATCTGAGCACATCTCCAAGATGCCATAACAAAGCTGAATCAACTTCTAGACTCTTTCAGCTTGCCTTTCCCTTGTTTTGGTTGATCATAGCAAACATGATTTTCTCTACTTGATATAATATGTAAACCAGACCCCCTCATAACTCAGTATAAAACCCAGCGTTTAACTGATCGGATAAAATATGTTACCTGCTTATCCCCAGTGATCAGCACAGAGATGATACTTTCTGAAACACATGAGCAAGCTATGATTCATAAAGAGTTATATTCATTGTTTGATGTTGGCACACTGTGTCAGGTTGCTCTGATTGCTACACCTTTCTTCCAGCTGTCTGCATAACCTCAATCCTTGTACACTTCAGAAGCAGCTCCACTGCATAAGCCAGCACAGAATTCTGTGGAGGCAGTGGCATACCTAGCCTATCTGGCATCCGGGGGCGATCATTTTCTTACCCCCCTTCCCCATACAAAAAATGAATACTGGAAATGGTGGGTATGACCGCAGTGGGCATAATAGGGCATGGTTAAATAAAAGTGTAAAAATGGCCATACAATGTTAGATTTCTCCCAGTCAGCTGCCCCACCCTCAGGCTGAACAAGTGGAATCATTTGATTCCCCCATCCATGCTAAATGGTGTGGATAGAGAAATGTTTGCTGCTGGTTATTGTATTCAGCAGCCACTTCTTCAGCGGCTGCAATACCTGAAGAATGCCTGCATCTGATTGGATGCAGTCACTTTTCGGCTGACAATTTTCCTCTCAGCTCCTCCAAATGGCATTCATCCAGCTGTACAATTATAAATCAGCCTTATAAAGTGTATCTAAAGCCAACATTTTTAGATGGAGTAGGGAAGGATTGGAGCATAGTGTCCTCACTGAGAACATTCATCCTCTTTGTCCTGGTGACCATTGTGAACAAGACCACAAGTAAGGAAAAACCTAAAGTTTTTAGATGTTAGTAGAACATAACTAGAGGAAATATTCCAATGGGGATGTGTTCTAGCTAGGGATGCACCGATACCGATACTAGTATTGGTATCAGTGCCGATACCAAATATTTGGGCGAGTGCTCATACTCACCCAAATGCTCTGATACTTATCTCCTATACCAGAACTTCCGGTCAGAGGGAGCTCTTCCTCTGACTGGCAGTGCCGAGGGAGCATGGAGCCGGCTTCCTTTCCAATCAGGAAGCCGGGTGGTGGGTTATGACCCGCTTCCTGATTGGCTAGGAAGCCGACTTCACTTCGTGCTAGGCAGCCTGACTTCCTAACCAATCAGGAAGCCGGGTGGCACATCATGACTCGTCTCCTGGCTTCCTGATTGGTCAGCCAATCAGGGAGGCGGGTCATGACATGCCAGCCGGCTTCCTGATTGGCTTAGGAAGCCAGCTTCACTTGTTGCTAAGCAGCCTGGCTTCCTGACCAATCAGGAAGCCGGGTGGCACATCAGTCTCCTGGCTTCCCGATTGGTCAGTCAATCAGGAAACCGGGAGGCGGTTATCCGGCTTCCTGGTTGGCTAGAAAGCTGGCTTCACTTGTTGCTAAGCAGCCTGGCTTCCTGACCAGTAAGGAAGCTGGACAGCTTCCTGATTGGTCCAGAGGCAAGGCAGGCACCGCAAGTGAATCCGGTGTTTTCGATAGAACACCGGCTTCCCAGGCAATCAGGAAGGTGGGTGATGATCTGCTGCCCGACTTCCTGATAATTGGGGGAACACGACACCAGTATCGGTATTGGTGAGTACCGCAAAAAAAAATATATCGGCACTCTATACTAAAAAACTGTTATCGGCGCATCCCTAGTTTAAGTGACTGCTGTGTAAAGGAAGATTTCCTTACTTGGATCCCGAGATAGGAAGTGAAGGAAAAGTTCCCTAATGGGACACAGGAAAAAACCATTTGACAGGAGTTTGAACCATTACGTACTCTACAATACTCTACATAGCTTATTAGCAGAACTAATGTGCTCATTGGAAGAATTACCTATAAAATTGGTGGGATTCTTTCACTTGCAGTGATACGTCACAAGGACAAATAGAGAGGGTGAATCTCCCTAACGGGGACACAAACCTGACAGGTGCTCTAATCCCTCTCTATTTTACCCAAAAAGAAAAGAAAAAAAAACAAGTTTTGGCTTCAGTTGCACCGTAAACAATTACACAAAACTGTTTACAAGAATCCAATCACTGATTTGGGGATTTGAGCAGGAGACTGGTAAATCCCTGGCTGTGATCTGTAGGGCTGCCATCATGATCCAAGCATCTCTTAGAGCTAAAAAAAAAAGGATTACATCTCTGCTATTTGTCCCCAGCGTGTAACACAGTTGCAGTTCTCAGATGTACTAATCGGGTACAATTTATAGATCCATTAACTCTCACTTTATTGGTGCTTCACACACTTAATTAACCTTGTAACTTTCGTTGGCCGAAAGATCCGTTTGAAGAATTGTTTGATGATTTAATAGCACCAACTGTTGCAAATGCACAATTAACTTTCACGATCTGGAGTTAGGAGAGAAGGGGTTCTATTTGAAGCATGTTCTTTCACACTGCTGATAACATTTTTTTTTAGTGGCGTTTCTAAAGGATGTTACTTACAGTAGTCGTGTGCTTTTGTAAAGGTACAATATATCTTTTTCAGACATAATGTTCATCTCTTGCACTTTTCTTCTATTGATCTTCCGTAATGTATGCAGGCAGAGAGTCTGTATATAGAGAAGCTCTGTCATCTGCTTATTTGCATGCAGACGTGGCGCTCGCACACTGGTTTTCTTAATTTCCTGTATTTATAACGTCAACATGTACAGAGTGCATAGAACAAAAATAGCCATTACGGTTATGATGAGAAGGGACTAAGGGAATCAAAAAGCCCTCCAAAAGAATCAGCGTAGCAAGGTAAAGTCTTTAGTCCATTCTCACTATAACCTAATGGTTATCCTTGTTCGTTGGGTCCCAAGTGATATTCCACAGAAGCCATAGATTCTATACACTGCACTGATAATGGCCAAAAACCCTGATACAGTTGTTTGTATGCAGTTTGGAATCAATGGCTCAGTAACAGTAGGCTGTATTTGCACTATATACCAGCAGTTCTGGATGTGCATTTGGCTATACGGTTGTAATGAACAGATTTTCATGGCTCTACTTGCTGTCCTAAAATGAGAATTAATCTTATTTTTGAGATGTGTCATGGAATACCTTCTGTTCCATAATGGCTTTACTGTTCCATGCAGAGTACATACGTAGACGCAATAACTTCAATAAAGGCTCTAAAAATGCAGTCCTCTAAAATATTTTAAACCAGGACTGGACAAATCCCAGGGGCCAGGTAGCCATTGATCCTTAAGATTTACAACTGGTGACTAACTTTTGAGGCTTTCTCTATTTGTCAACGGAGCTGCCTCCTAAAAGAAAATCCTGCTGGCTACTGGAGTGGACAGACTGGCTCCATATTAATTCATCCATTCCTGTTTAACAAACAAACTGATATTCCAATCATTGAGACTTCTTTCACAGGGTTTTTATTGGGTCTATAAGTGTTAAACCTCACCATAACTTACCAGCTTGTACTATTGTTTAGGTCCATAAGCCCTACCCCATAGAAGCCATAGAGTACATAGAGGCAGCAGCACTTAGCATTGCTAGAGGTGAATGGGCTTTACTGCTACTTACTGCTTCTTAAGGTGCCCATACACTGCACGATTCTCGTACGAGAATCGCGGGAAATCCCGCGATCCTACGAGAATCGTGCAGTGTATGGAAGGCGTGCGACCGTTCCTACTGTACGGTCGCACGTCTTCCATCGAACAAGCAGGCTGGAAAACCCACCGGGAATCGTACAATTCTCGGCGAGTTAGTGGCCTGCTTGTTCAACAACTGCCGAGCGGGCCGGTGTGCGCATGCGCACACTGCCCGTTTGCAGTCATCGCAAGCCCGCCCCTCATTGCAGTCATCGCAAGCCCGCCCCTCATTGCAATCTCGCAAGTACGATCTGCCTGTCCAAGATGGGCAGATCGTACGTTTTTTTAAGTACTCCACAACCCTCGCAAGACAAAAGTCTTGCGAGGGTTGTAAAGTATATGGGCACCTTTACTGCTTTCTCAATGCAGGTGTCTGGGTCAGATCTAACTTGATTACAACAGACCAACCTCAGATTTTCAGAAAGGATAACTATGCTTATTCCAACACATGGAAGTTCTTTATAAAGACTGTAAAGGTGGTCATACACCCAACCATCGCACGACTTTTGTTGTGCGATGGTTGTAAGGTGATTAAAATTTCGTACGACCTGCCCATCTTGGACAGGCAGATCGTACTTACGATCAGCGCAAGTCCTCCCCGCTGAGGGGAGGGCTTACAGATGATTGCAATGGTGAGCGGGCAGTGTGCGCCTGCGCACCTCGGTCTGTGTGGCTTTCGTCTTGCGATCGCGCTACCAACCCGCCAAAAATCATACGATTTTTGCTGGTTTTTCTAGCGTGCTCGCAAGACGAAAGTCGCGCGACCTTACAGTATATTTAAGTCGCGTCCCATGCACCTTACGATTATCGTACGATCCCGGGTTCCCCTTCGATTATCGTACGATAATCGTCAGGTGTATGGGCAGCCTAAAGCTGTTATTATGATCACCATCTTCACTACCAGCCGAGTTAGGGCAGGTTCACGCAGATGCAGTTGCGATGCAGTCCGTTCAGTTTGGCTGCTGCAGCCAAAATACATCACAATGCTTTCCTATGGGATTTCTGGTGCTCTATTCACACCAGTGCAGTCCGTTGCGATGCAGTCAGAAAAAATACTGCTTGTCCTATTTTAGCTGCATCAGACCGCAACAGGACACATCACAACGCATCAAAAATGCCTGCAGATGCACGGCAACGCACCTGAAATCCCATTTTAAGCAAAAAACCCTGCACCAATCGCTGTAAAATCGTGGCAAATCACATTGCAGCTGTGCAGACGCACGCTGTTGTGGTGTGAACTAGCCCTTAATGACATGGAACCATCATGCAGCCACTGAAGCCTAAAATGTCTGAACATTTATCTAAAACCACATTATGTACCTTTGCTGTCCCCAAAGCACAACACAAAACGGAAAACTTGAAACAAGTGTCCCAATTGGACATTTCTAGAGCTGCAACCAACTAATCGATAATGAGAGTAGTTGTCAACTATTCTCATTATCGATTAGTTGGTTGAATCCCCTAGCTCTCTCCTCCATTGCTAGGAGGAGGGCACAGCAAGCAGTGGGTGGATGCAATAGCCAGCCTGCTATTAGCTATTGCAATTTGAAATGGCCGGTAGGCTGATTATTGCACTAGCCCACTACCTGCTGTATTTACATTCAGCTGCCATCTGTGGAATCTGGCCACTGGCCGCTGTCATTCCCTGACTGAAGCTATTCAAGCTCCATGTGCTTATAATGCAATTATTAAACAAAAAAAATGATAAAAGGTGGGAAAAAAAAGTAATTTCAATGGCACTCCAAATGTACCTTCCACCCACAGTGTGATCGCCCGCACTGGAACGCATGGTACCTCAATGCTGTGCATTCCAGTGTAGTGCGATTGCAAAAAATTGTGATGCAGTTTTATTCTGAAGTAAACTTTATGTTTGTATCACTGCATTTGTGTATTTTATTTTTAGTTAAGGGCGGTATTTATTACATTTTTTAGATCCGATTTAATAAAAAAAAAATTATTGGCCAACGTATCGATTATGGAAATAATCATTAGCTGCAGCGCTAGATGTTTCCCCCTCCTGATGACAACTGTCAAATTTGGCATTTTGCCTCATTCGCCATCAGGACAAATGGGGTGAATTTTCCGAGCAGGGACACAGCAATCACATCCTGACAGGGGTTATAATCCTTCCCTACTCCATCCAAAACTATATTTGTTTGGCTTTAGATGTTCTTAAATTTACATTTTATGTTCTTCAGTGAGCAGTAAAGCCTGAATCAGAATGGCAACCCCAGACACTGCACCTCTAAAAACAAGTCAGCAATGGCACGTCCCTCATCTGCATTCTAACTAATGTCCATGAATACCCCCTTCCCTGATATATCGATGACCACTCTTGTCAGCATTTCCATGCCGCCTCGCGACTCCACGAGATGTTGAAAGGTGATGCGAGGAATCTGACACTGCACTGTTGTCCTTCTGTTGTTTTGTACCAGTCTTGCCACTCTCCGTTCTGCCTTAACATTGACTAGTCGCTGACGGCCACAATTCGCACGTTCAGACCCAGATTTTCGGCTGACAGTCCAGTCTTTAAACACTTTAACAACAGCTGCTCTTGAACATTTAACGAATTCTGCTGCTTTTCTGATACTCGCTCCATGGCTCGCACCAACAATCATCCCACATTCAAAGGCTGTTAAATTGCGTTGTTTCCCCATATCTTCAGAAAAAAATCACTTCTACGGTCGTGGTAAACAACCTGCTTCCCTATTTATAATGGTCTGGCAACTTCAGCGCGGAGTTATAGCTAATTTGCCTACAAACGTCAGGTGGTCATAATAATCAGGCTACTCAGTGTATATGAAAGATGCAGTGACCAAAATTCGATGGAAGTAAATATGTAAGAGTCATCTATGCTGACTTTCAGCTGAGTGTTACAATAAT